TGCTGAGGAAGGAGCAACAGCTGCTAAAAGACTTTTGTTTATAAATGCTGCTGAACTAACCCAAGATAGGTATTTTGAAAATAGCTTGGCTTCAAAACTGAAGTTAAAAGGTATGATACTTTGGAGAAGAGATTTTGCTTTTGTTTCCACAGAAAATGAGAGGCTGTGGATTCATTCTGAGTTAAGAAAAATCCAGTTTGAACAAGGAAGACCACCTGAGAAATCTCTGGTAGGAACAGATGGCCTGGATATCTGAGTTCTACATCCAGAATGGATTCAAGATGCTCCCTGAGATAATCAAGACTCACAGGATACTCCAGTCAGGACTTGATTATAACTCTAAATTTTCTTTAGGTCCCCATAAGATTATCAGCGCCCCCAACCAGCAGGAAGTAGCCTGAAATACTATGCCCACCTTCCCAACAACAGGACTATGGGTATTTTCATTTGTTTAAAAAAAAAAAGAGGGAAATGGTGCAGGAGAATTGTATGTATTCTGTCAATCATGTATTTTAATAAAACACTGATTGGTCAGGCAGGAAGTATAGGTGGGTCAACCAGACAGGAAGTAGAGGTGGGGCAATGAGAATAGGAGAAGGCTAGAGAGGAGGAAGCTCCCTCTGCCGTTCCTGCCCAGATCACCAAAGAGGCAACATGTGAGCTGTGAGAAAGGTACTGAGCCATGTGGCTAACATAGATAATGATAATGGATTAATATAAGTTACAAGGACTAATAGGAAGCCTGACCTAATGGGCCAATCAGTTTATAATCTTATGGAGTCCTGTGTGTGATTTTCCTAGGGGTATGCCGGTTGTGGGGTACCGGGTGGGACAGAAACCCCAACAAGCCGGCCCCTCAAGTGTTCTCATTTAAGAAAGGCTTCCTGACTCAGCTTTAGCTGCAAAACCCTGCAGCTCTTTTAAGAGGTCCTGCCACAAAACACTTAAATGGTGTTGATAAAAAGCTGAACATATGTTTTTCGGCTTTCAGCCATAGCAGGAAAAAAGCTGCACTGCTGTTTTAAAATGCTGGCTTTCTGGGCTGTCCTGCCAGGACAAACTCTGACTCTTGCAGGCAGGCAGTCCAAATGAGTGTGGTCTGTGAGCAGAATGCTGCAACTTGCTTGCTGGCAGGGACCTTGAAACACTGTAGAGTTGTGACCATAAAAATGGCTCTGGTGGTACCTCTGCTATGAGGCTGGAAAGCTAAGGAATGGGCTGGATCTAGCCGTCAGAGCCACGGCTTTCATCCTCTTCTTAAAGACACATGTGGTCAGAAAAAGAGAGATATACAGTAAAGAGAGATTCAAAGATGAAGAAAACCTCTAAATGTTTTACAGTGTGTTAAAAATACATGCAGGCTAAAAGTTAAATTCTTAAAGTAAAAATAAAGAGAGAGAGAGAGAAAGAGAGAGAGAGAGTAGTTGGGTAGTTGGGTGTGGTGGTACACACCTTTAATCCTAACACTTGGGAAGCAGAGGTAGATTGACCTCTGTGACTTCAAGGGGCAGAAGTAGATTGACCTATGTGACTTCATGGTGTGGTAGTAAATGCCTTTAATCCCAATGCCTGGGAGGCAAAGACAGATCTTTGTGAGTTCAAGGTGTGGTGGCACATGCCTTTAATCTCAGTACTGGGGAGTCAGAGACAGAGGGATCTCTCTGAGTTCAAGGACAGCCTGGTCTACAGAGTTATTCCAGGACAAAGATATACAGAGAACCTGTCTCAAAAAGTAAAAGTAAAAATTAAAGAAACAGAGGTTAAAAAAAGCCACATAAAGATGGAAAATGCACATAGAATCTTGATATTGTATATTATTATACTCTCTTTGAATTGTTTGAATGCTGCGGAAGGAGCAACAGCTGCTAAAAGACTTTTGTTTATAAATGCTGCTGAACTAACCCAAAATAGGTATTTTGAAAATACCTTGGCTTCAAAACTGAAGTCAAAAGTTATGTTACTTCGGAGAAGAGATTTTGCTTTTGTTTCCACAGAAAATGAGAGGCTGTGGATTCATTCTGAGTTAAGAAAAATCAGGTTCAATAAAGGAAGACCACCTGAGAAATCTCCGATAGGAACAGATGGCCCAGATGACAGAGTTGTTCATCTAGAACAGGTTCAAGACTGCTGCCTGAGATGATCAAGACTCAACAGGATACTCCAGTCAGAACTTGATTATAACTCTAAATTTTCTTTAGGTCGCCATAAGATCATCAGCACCCCCAGCCAACAGGAAGTAGCCTGGAATGCTACGCCCATATTCCCAAAAAATGGACTATGGGTATTTTCCTTTGTTTAAAAAAAAAAAGAGGGAAATGGTGCAGGAGAATTGTCTGTATTCTGTCAATCATGTATTTTAATAAAATGCTGATTGACCAAGCAGGAAGTATAGGCAGGTCAACCAGACAGGAAGTAGAGGCAGGGCAATGAGAACAGGAATATTCTGGGAAGCAGGAAGCTCCCTCTGCCATTCCTGCCCAGACTACTGAAGAAGCAACATGTAAGCTGACAGCTGAAAAAGGTACCAAGCCATATGCCTAACGTAGATAAGGATAATGGGGTAACATAAGTTATAAGAGCTAATGAGTAGCCTGACCTAATGGGCCAATCAGCTTTATAACTTATAGAGATCTCTGTGTGATTGATTTTCTCTGGGACTTGCTGGTTGTGGGGTACCGGGCGGGAACAGATACACCAATAAGCCGACCCTCATGTTACAGTTATCCAAATACCAAATGGTCAGCTGTGAGACATATATATACAAGTAGCAAAACCAGACTGAAAAAGGTGTATTTATGCATTGAAGAATACATACATGTGAGTATCCATAAAGATATAAATATAAACAATAAAGAAAAGTATCACAGATTTGATGGAGAACAACAAGATATATAGGAGGATGTGGAGGGAGAAAAGGAAAGGGGGGAGTGATGTGACATATTATAACCAAAACACTATAAAATATAAATATATAAGAAATGATTTAGGAACATTCAGGCTCCAATCCTCCCCCATGAAGAAAGTCAAGATGCTGAAGATGAGTAATGAATGCATTTAAAATCACAAATGATTGCAGAAGCCCAGTATCTTTTATGCTTCTTTTTGTCTTGGAGAGCACATATTCCTTTCATAAATTTCATTAAATTCTACTTATGTGCTTTCCAGTTGGCCGATTTTAATTTGCATCCCCTATAAGAGGGGACGCTTTGGAATTCATTTCAAGTGTCAAAACAAAGGGCCTTTAATGGTTCTTTCTCTATCTGCACAAATGCCTTCACTGTGAGCCCTTGGAAGCTCCTTCTCCTACATCCTAGGCTCTCCAGAGCCCATGATTAACACAATTTTTCCCACGGATTTGTGACATAATACAATGACTTTCCAGGCCATATGACATCAGTGTGGCTCATGAGTACAGAGTTCCTCCCATGTCCAAACCCATGGCACTGCATGCTTTGTACAGATCATAGAAACTACATTTTGTGGGCTCAGCATGGGCAGCAAAGACCCCCACTAAAACAAAGACATAGCAATGAGATGGACCTGAATGTGAGCCTTCTAGAATCTACAGGAAAGGGTGACCTCTTTGCTCCCAAACTCTTGCTAGTTGATAAGTTATTGGAGAATTCCATCCTTCTCTTGAATGCCCTCACTACCTGGCCTTTATAAATGAGCAACGTTGGAAATCTCTAGACTTTCTATGTAGCATCAAAACATCTACACTTTAGAGCCTATCAAAGAGTTGCCTTTGTGTTCCTTAAGCCAAACAACTATGGATGAGATCCAATGGAAACCAAGTTCAGGTGACTATTTTATCTCTAGATTCTCTCTCTTGCCAAAAGCTTGTTCCAGTTATTCATTTTTACAGTATCTTGAGCCACTGCCAACTCTTTGGCTATCTAGTCCAGCCAATGATAACAATAATTACGTATCCAAGTTTTCCTCCTTTGGGAGGGGAAAAAAACCCACAGGACTCTACTGCTGCAGGAATAGCTGCAATTTAACTTCAACTTACAAATTTGTGAACTTACTAAAGATGCTACAAGACCTCGTTTTAACCATCAGGAATACAGTGGTGATCATAACACTCATTTCACATCTCGAAATACACAGCACTGGCTCATGAATAATATGTTCAGTGGAACATTTACCACAATCATGAGTCAATCACAAGCCATTGGCCTCATAGAGCACCTTTATGGCATGTTAAAATTTAACTGAATTTAACATAGCAAATTTCAGTCAGGCAAACTTTTCCTTAAGCGTCTTTCAGCCATTTTAGATTTGTCTGTTAAGAGTTCTCTGTCTAGATCTGTACCCCATTTTTTTTATCGGATTATTTGTTCTTTTGATGACAAGTTTCTTGAGTTCTTTGTATATTTTGGAGATCAGCCCTCTGGTTAGTGAAGATCTGTTCCCATTCTGTAGGCTGTCATTTTATCTCTGAGGAAACAGATGTCACTTTTGTGAATACTGGTAGAAGGTTCAAACCAAGCAAGGTACAGCCCACTTGATTGAATCACCTTAGCAGCACCTGTTAGCTATTATAAAAGCCAAGCCAGTTTGGGTGACTACAAGTCATTCCAGAACTGCTTGAAAGTCGGCCAAACCCCTCCCACCCACCAAAACCACATTTTGGAGTTATTAAATCTTTTTATATCCTCTCAATGCAAGCACGGCATTATTAGTTTGGTATCTAAAACAAGGTTTGAATGAAAGAACTACATCATACTTCTCCTAAGTCTCAATTAATACTTCAACAAACAGTGGATTCATCAAAATCAGGCCTTATTATTATGCAGGCCACTCCCTTGCCACCTCCAGTTTCACTGGTATTTGAGTCTACTGCAATTTGGAAAATATTTGAATTCTCCATTCAATTGGTATTATCAACTAATAATAGAAGTTGAACTACAATTTACGTTCTCATTTCTAAAGTCCCCTATACATGTAACTACCTCTCATCTGTCACTGCCAGATAAAAGTTAAAGGAAGGACCATACTTAAGAGAGTCAAAATTCCAGTTTATTAGTAATCTGCTTCACCATGTCCTTGCAGAAAGGTCTGAGATACAATGTTAGGCTTCATAAGAAATAAGCCAGGATCGTTAAATTATATGTATTCTGAACTAGACATACCACATGTTTCTAAATAATTTTGAGATTTGAATGTGAATGAGGCAGCTGTTCAGGACTGAATCTTCTTTCTGACATTCTTGCACATCATGTATTTATGTTTCAAGGGTTTCATACTAGAAATGTTCACTCTGTAGGTTTTTACAAATTTTTTGGTGTATTATATATATTATAATATACAGATAATGTATTTGTATAGTGGTATTCCAAGCAGCTAGACACATTTTTAATATGTTAGGAAAATCAATTGTTTTTTGTCCATGTGATCTGATGGGCTTACCATTTTTGGTATGGTAGAATCGCTTAGACAAAGGTACAAATGGTTTGGAGAAAGGATGCTCATTTGTTTTTAATTTATTAAAGGAAATTCTTCCCAGTTTAAGTGTTAAACTTTGCTCCTTGGGGATGGAACATAACTCGGGAGTTATTAGCAGGTTCTGCTTTCACAGAGGACCTGGGTTTTGTTCCCAGCACCATTTTCACACAGCTCAAAATGCTTGTAATTCCAGTGTCAGGGGATATCATACCTCCACCCAAAATCCAAGGATACCTGAGGAAAAAAATGTATACAAATGACCACTAAGCAAATGAGAAGTTGTTCCATATTATTGAATATTTAAACAGGAAAGTCAAAAGATCATCAAAAATACCATTTCACACCCACTACAAATGCCTGCGATGTTTTTAAATGAAAAAAAAAAACAAAGAAAGAGATTGTCAAAGGAGTGAAGACTGGAACACTTGATCATCTCTGGAGGGAAAATCCTGAAAATACAGCTGTGTTTGTGGAAATCACTTCAAGGTTTCTAACGAAAGTTAAAACTAGCATTAGGGAGTGATCCAGCTAATTCTTTTTACAGAGACCTTGATTCTTTGTAGAGATCCCATCCGCACAAGCCCATGTGATCCTGATTACATCTAGGGACAGATAAAACAAAATGAGGAACAGGTGGTTAAATAGAAACTTACAGGGCACATTCACAAAAGATCTATTTACATTAATGAAAAAGTGACCACAAGCTTATTGTTGTTGCAAATGAACAGATAAACACAATGAAAACGACACAGACAACAGACAATTATTCAGCAATAGAATGAGTGGGGTTTCTGTTTTGGCTCATTTGGGGAAGGCTCTCTAGAAGAAGAGAGCCAACAGGGTACATATGCAATTGTAAAAGTGGGTTTATTAGATTGCTCTACCCCTCAAACAATGGCTCTCTGAATACTAGAGACAAAGACAAACCATTACGTTCTCTATAAAGGAAATAGAATGTCTCAGTAGAAACAGGACCACTGATGTATGTGAGTTTGAAGAAAAAAGCCTTTATGTTCCTATATATTGGTTGGTGAGATTTCCTAGAAAGACTGAGGCTATCTGTGGTCTGCTGTCTATGGTTGATCGCAGCAGAACAGACATAATGCATTCAGAAGGAATAGAACTTGCATACACTGGCTGCCTTTCTGTTTTTCTACTTCATTCTTTTTCTTTTCTTTTCGTTTCGTTTTTGGTCCAGTCTGTGGAGCAGCGATGCCCACAGATAGGGATGGTTTTACCTCCTCTGTTGTTCTGCTACATCCAAGTCCCCTCTCTGTCAACACCCTTGTAGACATAACCAGAAGTCTACCTGACTGGTTTCCTCAGCATCATTCTACATTCAACAACAACAAAAAAATCTACATGAACCAGCCAGTCCTAGCCCATTTCTTTTCCTAAGGCTTTGAAGACTATAGTGGGGTAACAAATCAGACCAGAGTATATGGTGGTAGTGTGAACTGATCAACTCAAGGCTCAGAAAAGAAAAGGAAACAGACAGTTCCCAGAGCTCCTTTCAAGAACACAGTTCCAGTGATTCAGCTTCCTCCCACTAGGCCCTACCATCAAGGTTCTATGATCTTCCAGTAGTTCCATAGACTGAGGACCGAGCCCGTAAGCAACAATCACCAAAACCACAGCAAGACAATATACCAAAACAGCATTGGTGTTTGTATTTGCTCAAACAGTATTGGAGAACATATAAGAAGCAAATTTGGTTATGGGTAACATCATTATTTAGGTTTTACACACTAGTGCTTTACACTAAAACCTTTTTTGTGGGTTGAAGTAGAAATATACTTTTGCCCTTATTAGTAGATGGTTAATCCCACATTTCCTGTATTCAGTCTGTCCCGGGTCCTTATCTTGGGATGGCTGGCTGCTCTATACTCAAATCAGTGATAGTTAAACATAGGAAGTGCAAAAATCCTGTAGGATAGTGCAGAACAGGATTGGATGGTAGTCATGGGAACGAGAGCCTTCCCAGATCCTTTGACTCTAGGATCATGCAAACAGAGTTACTTAAAACTACAGAAATACATAAATCACGATAAGCAATAAAGAGCAAGCTAGCTAAAAAAAAAAGTCATCAATGTACATGACCCACATATGTACATGTAAATCCTATTGACACAGAGAACAGGAGAGGTTGCGGAAAAACAAATCCTGTAGAGAAGCATGACTATAGCAGGGAGAGACTACAAAGATAACTATGCGTCAGACGGAAAAGAACCACCGCGTAGTTATCAATCAGCCTGAACTATTTCTGTAATGGAGGCAGGTTGATTCGAGTTGTTCTGTTTTAAATTAACAGAATTATTTTTTTTAAAAAAAAAACCTTCATGCATTAGAAAAATAACTGAAACCTGGAGGGAGATATGGAGAGTAGAAAAATATGGAGTAGAAAGGTTCCACAAAGAGAGGTAAGGGCAGGGAAATCAGTCATGGTCAAAAATGCTGAAGAGAATCAATCTGATAGTGTTGCTGGAAACAGCGTGCTGTTGAGATGATTATACAAGAGGAAACGAAAGATGACTTTAGGGTTTCTAGATTGGTTGACAAATAGGGGAGAGTTTGACCTTAATTACAGAAAATTCTAAATGGAACATTATTCAGAGGCTTTGATTGTATAAAATGTGAATCTATTGAGAGGCAAAGAGAAAGTGTGATGTAATATGACCTTCAACTGAAAAGTTATGTAAGTGGCAATGACTTTTCCCATCTTATTTATGAATGACTAAGAAGACATTTTCCAGTAAAAAAATGATCATTTATACATAAATGAATGCTTAGTTCAGAGTATAAAATTGCAAGACATTGACTGCAGAAGTTTGTGAGCTAACTTTTGCAAACCCATTTCTCTTTCACTAAAATATGTTAGACACATGACATGTGGAAAACAATCTCAGGGTAATACCACCACGCTAGCATTTTTTATTTTTATAAAGAAACAAAACATGAATATGACTTATCAAGATAGATGTAATCTCCCCATTCACAGCACAGCACTCTTCAAAACACAACAAAAATATATCTGAGATTGGAAATTAGTGCAAGCAGAAGAGCCACAAAATTATTATGACCAAAAGGCATTTTTTATAACAACTTTATGTGTTCCCTCAGTTTCACCATTGTCCCTGCCAGCAATTAAACTTTTCATGCCGTGTATATTCATATTTTCTATTTCATTGCTTTACTTCTGCATAATTATTGCCCCAGTCATTTGTGGTTGGCTTTTCTCAGAAGCTCAGAGACAGAACCCTGCTTCTGTTTTATCTCCTACCTTCTAGAAAAGTTCCCCCATCTGTGGCTTCAATTTCTAGCCACATACCAATGATTTCCTCACTAATCCTTCTGAGTTCTAACATCTAGACCTTTCCTGTTGGTTGTAATTATAAATAACCTGGTTTTTTTTTCCACTCTCCACATGTACGTCTCAAATACACCTCACATTACCTAGATACAAAGGGTTATAGTCAACCAGTTCCTTGAAATTTGCCGTGGTCTAGTGTTCCTGTCTGGAGTGTTGGGCTTCTGTTAGCTGGAATAAAATTATTCACCAAAAACCAGGAGGATGGGGAAAGGATTTGTTCGGCTTATATCCATCATTTAAGGATGTCAGGGGAGGAACACAAGGCAGCAATTTAGCAGTGGGAACTGAAGCAAAGACCATGGAGGAATGCTGCTTACTGACTTGTTTGCTGTGGGGTTCTCAGCTTGCTTTGTTACAACCCAGTCCCGTCTGAGCAAGGATGGCACCACTCACAGTGTGGCCTGGGCCTTCCTACACTAATCATTATTCAAGAAATTGGCCCGAGGATATGCCCATCCTAGGCCAGTGTAATAAAGGCGATTTCTCAATTGAGAGTCTCCCTTCCTAAGTGATTCTCGTTTGTGTCAGCTGGCCCCTTGTCAGATTCTTGATTCAGAATATCACATAAGAATCCCTGATGGTCTTTGCTTCCCTCTAAAGCTTTACAAGCCCGCCCTCCAACTCCTGCCCCTCTCTCAACATTCCTATAGTACAAGCTCTCCCAACAGGTCACTAAGCTCTGAAGATGCAGAGGCGTTTCCTAGGACAAAGCTCTCAAAGCCTTCCACAATAGTCCCAAGAGAAACAGTCAGGTTTGTCATAGAAACATCCCACTCGCTAGTACCAATGTCTGCATTGCTTAGGCTTTTGTTGTGGGGGTGGGGAATATGAAGCAAAACCAGCTTGAAAGAGGAAATTATTCAATTTACAGGTTATTGTCAATGGAGGGGTACAAAGACCGGAACTGATGGCAAAAACAGTTTGGGAAGGAACTAACACAGAAAGCATGGGGAAATAGACTTACTGAGTTGATGTTCCATAGCTTGTTCAGTTTGTTGTGTTACATAGCCCAAGACGACCTGACCAAGGATGGCATCGCCTACAGTAGGATAGACCCTCCCAAATCACTAGTAGTCCAGTAGTAAATGACCACGCACACACACATTCCCACAGGCCAGTGTGATAGAGGCCGTTCCTCAACTGACTTGATTGTTCCCTCTTCCCAGGTGACTCTAGTTTTTGTCAAGTGGACAGAAACTAACTAGTCCACTGTCTTAAGGGAATTATCATTCATTCAAGTATCAAGCCCACAAGTCAGGGAAGTATCCTAGTCAAAATGCGAGTGCCTTTTGAAAATTTAGCTTTTATTAAATCCACACGGCCATTTCATCAACAGAAGCAGCCACTCGTGCTTCCTAACTATCTTACATCGGTTTACTTCTTTCTCTCTGTACTGTCAACCACCAGTCCAAGCTGCCAGGAGCTATCGTTCACCTAAATAATAAAGGTTTGATAGCTACTCCAATTGTTTTCCATACAGTAAAAAAATCTATTGAATGGAAATCTTTAGACCACCATGAAGGAAGCAAAAGAAAATCTTACATTAGTTTCTAAATTCTGTCAAAAGACGGTAATTACTTAAATACACGACAGGAACGTGTACGCACATCACATTGTTATCATTAATCATTAATAGTCACCATCCCCTGTCTGGGCACATTCTATATCACCATTAGCCGTCAGTGCCTCCTATCTGGTTGGATACGTAGGTTGAAGAGCAGTAGACTACTTGTACACCATCTTACACCTGCTTTGCATCTGCCTTTCCAAAACTGGGGTTCCCAGTCTGAATTTTCTCAGTCATTTTTTTCCAAATGACCCTGGGATCATCTGAAAGCCTGGGGAAGCCCCGATGTGCGTCTCCAACACGGGAGAGAAAGTCTGTGGTATGAAGGTGTTCGTCTATTTTCTCTTGGAGCAGAAGCGACTCCAGGAGAGTCTTCCTGCGCTTCAGGAAGTCAGACTGAGTCAGCTCTGCCCTTTTGCTGTTGCAACTGGGACACTGCGCAGAAACATGCTGCTTAATGGCGCCTATGTGCGCTAGAGTCGCCCTCGTGTTCTTCAAATAGATTCTGCTCAGCAGTTCAGCAGGAATAGTGCAGTTGAAAGCGTCTACCTCTGAAGTCTCTGCAATCCGTCTGAGCGGCAGCCTTTTGTGTCTGCTGCTTTTCTTTGCTCTTGAATCCTCTCTCTGGTGGATCAGGTTTACTTTAACAGAGCAAAAGGACTGGAGGGCATTCAGTTCTTCGGCGGATCCCTCAGGAGTTTCTGTTGGAAGTCTACTGTTGGGTTGATATCCTTTGGAATTAATTCCTTTGCCCTTGATGTGGTTGATCCACTTTTCACTCAGCCTATGTTCATCCTTCAGTAAGAACGAACGTTCTGGCAGCTCGTCTTGTTCTTCTGAACTTGTAGTCGGCTTCCCATTCTCCAGTGAGCTCTCAGAGCTGTGGGAACAGGATTGCTCTTCCGCGGAGGAGCTGAGGGAACCAGAACTCAGTACCTCATCAGTACAGGACCTGAGGATCTCTTCAGAAAGCTGTGTAGCGCATACATCCGTCTGGGCTGGGCCTCCTTGCTCTTCTGAGTTCCCCGGCTCTTGAGTAGATGGCCATCCCATTGCCTCGGACTCTGTTCGCCATCTGCTTTGTTCTGGTCAGAAATGGGCCTGGAATCAATAAAGATGCGCCCACAGGGCAAGATCTTAGGTGTCTTTGGGCGCTGCCGGTCAAGACTTCCGGGTACGCCTTTTCTGGTTGCCGTGGCAACGCGCGCCGGTCATGCGCAGTGAGTAGTCGCTGTTTGCTTGCCCTTCCCCCACCCCACCCCCGCTCCTGCCTGGGCGGGCTCAGCAGCCCTTATATTCAGCTCCAAGGCTGCCTGGAATGCTGTTTAGAACACTGTGATTCAAGGGAAAAGACCTCAAACTCCTTTCCCTCCAGATCAGACCAGGCTATGCACACACGTGAGTTCCATAGAGGTCTGTGACAAAAGAAATAGTGTGGCTTGCCTCAAGAAAGACAGTTTTCACAGAAAGTGCTCGCTAGGGTATGCAACAAAATCATTTCTGTCTTAGAGCCAGTGGAGAAGCTGTTCGCATTCATGCCATAGGATGAAAACAGAAGTACGGACAGAAAATACATGTACGGTAGGGCCCATGCGCAGACACTCCAGGATTCCGAAGACTTTGCAGTTTCCCCAAACAAACAACAGTCTTAGGTGTTGTCCCCTCCACCTGCCAGGTAGGCGCCCCCCTCTCTGTATGCCTTGCTATATGATTATTACTCCTTTAAGTCACGTTTCCAAAGGAAGGGCTCCCCAGTCCTTTTCTGAGTGCTGTACAGCTGAGTCTTTGGAGTTAAAGGCTGCAGACGCAACCCCTCAACAATTCACTGGTAGCGTGCATAAGAACCGGTGTTGGATATCGATTTACGCAGGGGCAGTGGGTTTTGTGGCATACATAATTTCAGCTTAAGAAAGTCCCGGTACCCTCCTCTCCAATCTTCAAACTTAGGTAGGCCCTTTACCGTTGTTACATTCCTTAATTCGGGCCTTTTAAACGACATTCTCACAGACCCAGATAGCCTGGCATATTAAGGCCCATGCTGGCAAACTTGATGATAAGCCTGCGAGCTCTACATGACAGAAAGTGAAGAGAATGGACTCCCAAGCTCACATTATATTCCCTCTGTCCTTCCCCACACCCCTCCCTCTTTGTGTTCACCCACTGACTTACTTTAGAAAGGTCAACTGTCTGAAATATTCAAAGATCATCTGAGAAATGAGACCAGTCTTCTTTTAAAGATAAGGACTTTCCAAATTCCTTTTTCCCCCAGCCCAATTAAGAGCAGACAGATAATTGTGGATCTAAGGGATTTCTAGCAGAAATAACATTTTTATTTTAAATTTTTATTTCAAAATTCTCCCTCATTCTCCCATTCATATTTCCACGCAATTCGTCATTTCCTCCCCTTGAACAAGGACTTTATCTTAATTACAATGCACCCTGTAATCGTTTCAATGTGCTAAACACCCAGACTAACCTGGGTTTTCTATTTTTCAATAATGTTGTAAATTTATCTCAGTTTAAAAGAGAAATAGCTTTATCCCTGAAGCAGAAAATCTGAATAGAGAATCGTAAAAATTAATCAATTTCTTCATAAAAGCTGTGGGCATCGTAACAGCTTAATAACTTGTTTAAGGAAGAAGTATTGCTGCGATGTACTATCACTGTCAGATAATATTCACGAGGGTAGAGGTCAAGGTTTGAGTTGTAAAAATAGGAGCTGTCCTTTATGTGAATCGCTTTTCAACTGGACTACAAAATGAAGTTCCAGTATATCTTTGTTTGAAAATCCCTGTCCCTATTATTTTTTTCCTCAGTCCGTAAATCAAAGGGCAGGTGTAGCTGTTGACTTTCACATGGGAGAATCATCAGCGCCAAGTGTGCAAGGTTTCAACTGTTCTGTAGCAGTGGCAATGACACATTCTGTGTTTCTCGGAGACTGTGAAGAAAGTGTGAACAAGCAGAATGTTGCGGATTATTATTCTTTCTTAATTGAACATTTCAAGTGAGTTAAAAAGAAAGAAAGAAAGGAAGAAAGAAAGGAAGGAAGAAAGAAAGAAAGCAAGCAAGCAAGCAAGCAAGCAAGCAAGCAAGCAAGCAAGCAAGCAAGCACGGACTGAAAGAGCAATCAGGAGTTGCAGCCTCCCATTCTACCCCAAACTTTCTTCATACACAACTAAGGGATATAGAGCACTTCCACTGGCTTTACCAAATGCAAACCCAGTCAGGAGTCACAGGAGTAAAACACAGTAAGACACACTTAACATTTCTTGTTTTTAATCTGGAAATGAAAAAAAAAATCACTCATGCAATTGACAGAAAGAAAATATTTATGTAAGTTCCAGAAAGTTCAATAAATAGTAGTTCAGGGTCTCGATAATCATAGTACAGAATTATTTATACTTAAACTGACTTATAGACAAACTTCAGAATCATGTCTTCAGATTTATACATACAACTCTTACTAAATGCACAAAAAAATGTTGCATTTTTCATTTCTCTGAATTAATGTCATTCCTCCTTAGAAGTTCTTATCTATCTTGGTGGCAATGGAAAACTACTAACTTGAGACTCAGTGTTATTGCAGACGTTCCCACATTTGCCAGTCTCACTAGCAAATATTCAGCAAATGTTAAATTTTACCCCCCCTGTCTTCCCTCCCTCCCGTTTCCTCCTTCCCCCTCTCCCTAAATGGGAATTATAAAGGAGAACCATGTTCTCAGGGCATTTCACACAAGGTATCTCCCACATTTACGTCCTGTCCTTATATTATCTAGATATAATTTCAAAAATAATTAATTTGTCATTTAGTTTGGTTTGGGAAAGAGAAAACAGTGTACATTGCTACACACTTTTTACACTGTTTGCCGTTTAAAAGTATATTTTTATGTCACCCAGAAGTAGCATACAGATACCTTCCTTATTTCTCTCAATAATTACATTGTTTCCCATTGTAAGGAATTACTATATTCTGATGGAGTTTCTAATAGTTCTTTGTATCTCTGACGATGTGTATCCAAGATGATCCCTAATAGTGAGATTACTGTTGTGAAGACTAAAGATACGTGTAGTTTTCCAATTGCTCTAGGTAAGAAGTATCATGGCATTTCTGCCTAAAACTATAAAAAGACCTATTCCAGAGCATGGGTCGTGGGTCATTTATTCAGTTTTGTGGGATTTTGTCAATTTGCATGTCTTTAATTTTATCTTAATGCAATGTGAAATTGAACCTCTGTTATTATTAGTGAAGTTAAGCAGATTTTTATATACATAAGGATTATTTATACTTTTGGTGTGTATATTAATTTCGGTGAGTGGATGCTGCTTGTTCGTTTCCCAGCCAACCAGATCTGAAATAATTACAGAAACTGTGTTAATTAAAACACTGCTTGACCAATCACTTAGGCATATTGCTAGCTAACTCTTATATCTAACCCACGAGGTGGTGGCCTACCAACAAGGTTCCAGGGTCTGTCTGTCTCCTCTGATGGCTACGTGGCTTCTCACTGACTCTGCCTACTTTCTCCCAGCATTGTTTAATTTCCCCCACCCCTAGCTCTATTCTGCCCTATTACAGGCCAAAACAGCTCCTTTATTCAATAACCAATCAAAGCAACACATATACAGAAGGACTTCCCACACCACATTTCTTCTACCCATTTTACTTTAGCACTTTTATTTTTACTTTTCTGTTATTTTAAAGTATTCACCTTTTTGTTGAAATTGCGATTTATTTTTTGTGGCCTACATCCTTTTATTTACTTACGCTGTTTATTGCCACTAAAAGGTTTTCATTTTATATCAAAATGTTCAGTCTTTTCCCAAATTGTTCTTAGATTGTACTAGACTTTGATAGTTCTAGTCACCATATTTAATTAGCTTCATTTTGTTGGTGCACAGTTCTTTGAATTTGAACACATGAAACTACCGCGGATACATGCAAACATCTTCAGACTCTGGATGCAAAACATCTTTCTTGTTCCATCTTGTTTGCATTCTCAAGTCACCCGTGTTATTTGTAACAAGTTCTTTCTGTTGCCTTTTTTTCCTATGAGTTTTAGATATACAATCACATCCGCAAGTTAGACTGGCCACTTGGTTTTAGATCCTTAAAGATGTTTTGTTTTGTTTTGTTTTGGGAGTTGGAGGTTGCCTCTGGGTCCTCCGGGATTTTAACAAAGTGTGTCACCAAGCTGCCATTCACCTCTGTCATCTCTAATTATATTGTCTCATCTAATTTTATTGAGGATTACCTCAAAGGGTAAGTGAAGTATTTTTGAACTTAGAAAACATCCCCATTTTCTAAATTAGATATTATCTTTGCTCTGATTTGTAAAATTTATAGACAATGTCTTGTTTAGAAATGCTTTGACATTTGTAAACAAGAAGTCAAATGATCAGTGTCATTTTACAAAATTATCCTATAAAATATTACTGCAAAAATTTGATAGTGTAAATAGATAAATAACTAGACTTTCAGATAAACATATAAATTAATAAAAGCTCCCCAATGAAAACTGTTAAGTTTCTCATCTATGTTGGTTTAATATTTCCAGTGCATCATTTACTTTTACGAGATTTACATTCTTAAAACTAAGATTAAGGGCTGGGAGTCTTGCTCAGTAGTAGAACACTATCCTCATATACATGAATCCCTACGTCCACTGTTCAGCATCAGACAGAATACAAATAATTTTAAGTAAAGTTCTAAAAATATAGCAGGTTTTTATTTTTGCATCGTTCTTAAGTACATGATGCTCAAGTACTTAAAGTAAATATTTAGGAACAAATTTGCTTTCCTGTTACTGTTATACATTAAACTAACAAAGAAAATGTTGAGCCCAAGCATTTTGAAGGTCCCAGTATTATTTTATTTTTTATGAGATAACAATACATAATAAAAAATTTGACTTAACTTTCTAATTTTATCTCTTTTGTTTTCTTTCAGTTTAAAAAAATCAGAAACCACCATCATATTGAAGTTGGACAAGGCAAACCAATGACTATCTCAGTCTTAAGAAAAACTGAAAATAATTTCAATTCTCTTTTTTAAAAAAGTATCAATAAAATGAGGATATTTTTAGGACTGTTTTCTTCTAAGTGCTTTCAGGAAGGATCTGTCCCAAGACTCTCTTTGATTTGTAGATAGCCAGTTTTATGACCACATTGTATTCTTTCCCTACACATGG